ATTGTATATGCAATTTGAGATTTTTTATATTGCTATTTGATTTTAAAACTTATGTTTCGATGGTTCTCAGGACTTGTTTTGTTGATTTATGCAAAGTGTAAAAGAAAATAATTGAATATACTATATTTTTCTTTTTTAGTTTTGTACAAAAGGACAATTTAGGATTTTTGAAAGAAAATCTAAGTTTTTAGACCTACATTGTTACGAAATAGTAAAAGTATGGGAGGTATATATAATTTTTAAAACTTAAGGGGAGCTCTTTGTAATTGTAAAAAATGGCAGGGGAAATTTGTGAAATTATTCTTTTTTTTTTTTTTTTTTACCTCCCACCCCTACTCACAGTCTTTTCCTTTGTAATTGTCAAACTCAGGCTTCAATAAAAACTCTAAAAATCCTCCCCTAACCACTGAGCCCTCCTCTTCACACCTTCTTGCTACTATAAAACACAAATTTGTCAGACATGCCCGTTAAGTAAAATTCAAGTAAAATTCTGAAGAGGAGGAAAGACCATGCTAACTTGAATTATGTCCACAATGACACATTAGGGAAGGATCATGAGCAAGCCAAGTTTATATAAAAAGAGTAGAAATTTAGTTAAAATAATAACAACTGTGTAGACTTTAAATAATTGAGGTGTTGAGGCTCCAGACTGCCTCCATTATTTATGATCATGGTGCATGGTACAGCGAAATACAGCCCAATGAAATGCCAAGTAGAAAAAAATATATTTTTTTGTGTGTGTGTGGTTTTAAATCAGACCCTGATAATTGATTGTGTTTCTTATATACATCTGCTGCATTAGATCGTGGTTCTTCTTAGAATTGGAGAAGGAATGTACTCTTTAACATATGGAACTCAAACAAAATTGTCCAACCGTAATGTGGCCCGCTGCTCAAGTTCCAAATTGACTTTAAGCAAATGAACAAATTACAACTTGCAAAAGCACTATAGAAAATAAGAAGAAGAAGGGATATCTTTTGAGTTATCGACCAAAGGGGAACTTCACAAAGAAAACAAAAACAGGGATTACAAGACCACTTTATTGAAGCTTAATTTAATACGGTAAAAAAAAAAAAAAAAGCCCAAAACAAAGAACAGAAGAAAGAATAATAGTTACGCTTCAAACATCTGACTTTGCTGATTTTTAAATGTGGCCATGAGAAAATTGGAAATTAATCTTATACTCAAAACAAAAACAGCTCATTTAGTTCCACCTCCTAAGTCGGTTGCAAGCAAGAATAAGATCAATATAAACATACGGAAAGAGTAAATAATTTGATCAATTGAAATTTCGGATACATATAAACCACATATACTTTTCTTCATCATCGAGGATGATCAATATTAAGATTACATAAACATAGAAAACCAGCATTCTTCATATGATCCCAACCCCACATCGATCCAAAATAAGCTTCATAAGGACATCCAAGTCCAGACCCCATAGCACAATTAAACTTACCAAGGAAAAGACACCCTTAATTTGCTTCAATCATTCAGTCTTCAATAAATTAAAACTCCATCTCTCTTTCCTTTGCTGTTTGTTCTTCTTCGACCGCTACCATCAAGTGCACTTGTACTATTATTTCCATCGTTGAAGATCAGGGGCAAGTCGTTGGAATCATCAGTATCATCCACAGTTGCTATACGGATGCAAGAGCATCTATCTAAGGAAGCAAAGAATGCGCTAGCAACACCATTTATTATCCACATGGCCACCCCATCAAGCCTTCCGCACCCTGGTGAACAGCCGTGGTTATTTGGTGAAGATCGGGCCATCTTGGTCTCGACTGAATTGGCTCCGTGGTTGAAGCAGGTGGCGCAGCTACTTGAGGAGCTGGTTGTTGCTGCCATGGATTGGAAATATCACAAGTCTGCTAGCTTCTTGGTTGTTTGATGGCAGCAGATGAAGGAGAATATGAGATGGTGAGAGAAGATATTTATCGAGCTGTCTTGAGTGTTTTTTTTTTTTTTTTGTTGGGTGAAAAGCTGTCTTGAGTATTCACTACACTCTTTAGAGATCAAATCTTGAATTCTTGACTGAGGATTTATAAGGAGTCTAATTTTATTGCCTAGGCATGGCCTTTACTGGATGTGTGAAATTACAAAATAGTTGTATTGGCAACGCAAAATGGTGTCATCATTAGAGGTTTTAGTGGCGCTAATTAATGAATGGATTAGTTTGGCAAGTGAGATCTCAGAGCGGGTTTGGTAGCTAATTATTAACAGTTATAAGTGGTGAAAGGGACATATTTTGCATGTACACAGCCATGACAAAACACATTTTATACATATATACGTTTGTGCAGAGGCATATAAGTACAGCAATATGAAAGTCCATATGCTTGCATGAAAAAGATGACAAATTAATTAAGTGATGGTTATTGGTTATTTTCAAGTGTAATTTAGCCCGTTCTGGTTTGTTTGGATAGAGTATTATTTGAAATAATTACTATAGAAATTTTTTTGATGTGAGATAAAAAGACGGATTAGGAAATATGTTTATGATGCAAGCAAAATATTATTTGAAAAAATTTGATATACAAGCGTAGCATTTTAGCTAGATCTTTAAGTTGTAGAATCATTGTGGAAAAATTATTCAGGTTTTGTTTTCTTGTTTCTTTTCTAGTCAAACCCTTAAAGGTCTTTCTCTCCATATATATATATATAAGGAATGAGAGCTTGAGAAAATATAGAAGGGTTTTTTTTTTGAGGGTAGAAAATAATATAGAAGGTTCAAGAGAAGGAAAAAAAAGAGGTGAAGAAAAGGGTAACTTTGTCCCTAAAGAAATATCCTAGACAAGCCGATCCAAGCATGTGTAGCCAATTAGTACCATAGATTAACCCATACATGAGAAATAATGGAAAGGTGCGGACGAGACATGGAATAAACAAAGAACAAGCGTGTCCAACATTATGATGAGAGTCAAGCGTTAAAGCGCTTTTCATCATTGGGATTAGCCTCTACACTTTCATTTTAGAATAATTTTTCTTCTTTGTAGATCTTCCCCTAGCCAGTAGCAGCCACCCACCCCACAATCAATGGCTATTTTCTTTGCATATAAGATCTGTCGTAGACCCATGTAAGCGTTGATATTTTAAATATTGGGATATATTACTACTGATAAACAAGGAAAAAAGAAAGGGTATATTTGAGTAATACATGTATACATTAATTAATTAGGGTTCTTCTTCAGTTCTTCTTTTAACTTTTATATGAACATGGAATTTCGATCTCACTACCTTAGGAATACTCACCATGTACATGTATATCTTGCAAATTAACAGCACTGGATATAGCCATGGGCCATGAATACGACGCAATGCATCTGAGAATACAATTTCATGTCAACAAACAAACTACCTCCTCCCACGCATATTTGGGAGTTGAAACATTTAGTAATGTATATTGCCATAAATAGAGTACAATGAATGGTCCAATTGAGGATGAGGTTTTATTTATTCAAGTGATCAATCCGTAGTTTAGGTGATGTAGATATAATTGGTCGATGATACCAAAACCACCACTAGATGGCCATATACATTTGCCTATTCTGCTTCTTCATGCTCATCTACAAGCACATACCGGCATACAAATACATCATTTTGGAGTCACATTTACAGAAACCAAAATTTTGAACACTCCTAATCAACTATGACGCAAGGCTATTGTTGCTGTCACTCACCATCTGTGTGAATTACTTGTAATTAATGTTATTGAGCTCAAAATTGTTTGCATTTTCACACTGTTGGATTTCTCTAATTTTGTCACAGGTAAAAAAAAAAGACTGAGAACCCTAATTTGCAAATTTCTAAACTCTTTGGCATGGCAATTAGAAAATAAAAATGACTGGTAACCCTGATTCTCAAATTTGAAAATCTCTTTCGGTTCCTAAGAAGTATGGGAGACTATGATTAGACGATCGATCTATTAGGTGCTAATGTATATTAATGATGAAAGAAATTCTACTCGAAGCAACTATACGATGGACACAGGTTAGAAGATTTTGCAGTCTCCACCTCCTGATCCTTAAGAGCTTTTATGTTTGTGTCTATCACATAAACATATTGTTTTAAAGCCATTTTGTGTAGATAAACTCTGATGATAACAACATTTCATAATTTAATTGTTAATATCATTAGTTACTAAATTTTTATTGCAAGTATGAAACCTCATTCGAAAGAGTAATTTCCAATTCAAGTCTCATTGATAAGTGGTTACTAGCTGCTGTTCGCATGACTAAATTAGGCCCGTCAACGGTGCGGATCTAGACCCACTAGTTTGGCCTTCTGCGATTATTGCCATAAAAGCTAGTCTTGGGCTGTTTGCCCTACCCACTTGGTTGATACTCAAAAGCCCAAGCATTCCTATTAATGGATCAGTAGGAAAGCCATTTGATATTTGAAATCTCTCCATGGATCAAGTTTCAAAACTGCTAGGCCCACTAAGGAACCTCATAAGCACACAAATCAAGGGCTTGGGCCGACATGTCAATAAAACATATTCACCCAAACTCAACATAATCAGTGGAAATCTTCGAAATCTTTCACTTACACTCCCTCGTTTGTGCCATCCAAATTGTCCCTTCCTATCAAAATATTAGTCAAGTAATCGTGAAGCTTTTAGTTTGAATCTCGTCTCGTCTATTTTCTCATTTTCCAACCAAAAGTCTTTGAGTATCCTTTAGAAACAAAAATAGATTCACCGTAACAGGAAATAAGAGTTTGAAGTATCATTCAATTGGTTCAACATACTAGGTGGCGTGCCACATGGTACACGAGATCAAGTATCTAGCATTGAGAAATGATGATAGTACATCTCCATTTTTTTTTTTTGGGTCTAGTGAATGTCAAATAGAGTAAAGGATGGCCCATTATAATGATCTTTAAGGTCGGAAAGTTTGACCGCGCCAAATGGCCCAATCTCTAATTCGCAGCATCTAGACGCAGCTTCTATAAAATGCTTTGTACACGACGACAGCTTTGTCTGAGGCTGGCAATCTCATTTCCGTTTAATTTCCTCCCTTCCTTCCCCTATAAGGTATTTCCTTCCTTCCGACCCAAATCAATCAGAATTACTAATATTTGATCCCCCCAAAATAAAAATGTCAAAGCAAAATGCCGTCTTCATTGTAGCCATTCTACTGTTACTCACCGTTACATGTACCGCTCGCGGTGATCCTTCTCTGCTGAAAGCCCGAAAGGAGGTACTGTCCATCCTGCAGATTGATAACCGTGCTTGATTCCTTCCCCTTTTTCTGGCGTTTTATTATTTTGATTTTTTTTTTATTGTTTAATAACTGCTGTAGAATCCTGAGGCGGAGAAATTCGTGGGGGTTGAAGGAGCAAGCTGCCAAGGAGCGGAGGATGAAGAAGAGTGCTTGATGCAGAAAAGTTCTGTGGCTCATCTCGATTACATTTACACAAATGACAGCCATGGCCGTTAGCATACTCCTTTTCCATGCCCCGATGTGTCTAGGTGCAAAATAAATTATGGAAACGGGTTATATATATATATATGAAAAACGTTTTCATTTACTTGCTTTTGCGAGTTGGAATTGTATTACAAATCAAATTCATTCGCTTTTGGAATTGTATTACCAACTACCAACCTTTTGGACTTGTGTAATTATTCCACAAACAAGAATACCAGACTTAATTTGCCACTTGAAACGAACTCTGAACAAGAATTTATTTGCACTATCAGTAAAAGATAAAATTGAAGTTTCAAAACTGAAATTTGAAGTCTGACAGTGTATACTATATTCGTCATTTGATTCATGACATGTGTGCAAAAATTGAATTTCAAATTCAAATTTTGCATAGTTGTCGTTCATCCAACGCTGATAGTGTCGCAGGAAAAATTAATCCATATTTAAATACTAAATTTGATACATCTGAGTATGTGTCACATTAAGTGATAAATTAATAACTTATCACTTATTTTTGAGACCAAGTTGTATCTAAAAAATTTAATACCGTTTAATTACTTCAGATGTTCTATTTTTTGTTATCAAATGCAACTGAATATCCATTAAATTTAAATACTGAATTGAATTATTAAATAGGGCTCGTACCTAATTCCGTTGATAAAAAGATGTAAAAAGGTCTCAATTAAAAACAATAATGGATCCAAATATATGGTAGGTCGGATCAAATTAAAATGAACCAAATGTGGGTATGCACATAGTAAAGCAGTAAAGAAGAAGTCTAAAGCAAACACTTCTCTGTTTGGATGTGTCTCAGTGAATTTACTAAGTCTAAGTAATAATTTAATGTTCCATTGACGAGCAACAGTCAAAAAAGTGAGCAAGCAATCAAAAAGATTAGAGAGCCTGACCACCCGTCAACAACTGATCGCCTTAGATTCTATCCATCTCAACCCAATAATTTCTCCACATGTTCCCTCAGAAATCCTCTTCTACTATATATATGTCCCTCACTCCATTATACAAACGTCTCTTGCATTTCATGTCATATGAAAATAGTGGTGGTTTCCCACGAACCAAGAATTATTAGCTCACCATTGTAGCATTCTCGTCCCAGAGGAGAGCCCCCCAAACAAAACAGAAAAAAAAAAAAAAAGGGGAGGATGAAGTTCAACAGTCTTTTCATGGTGGCCGTCCTGTTCTTCTCCATGCTAGTTACTACAAGTCTTGCTCGTACTGAACCTTCTCTGATGAAAACCCAATACAAGGCAAGTCGAATTCTTTTCATTTTCTAACTCTGTTTGATTTCTCAAGGCCTCTATTGTTTGCTTCACTTTTGTCCTCCTCCTGTTTCATCCATAAACTAACTAAATTCTTTGCCTGGTTTTTTCTCCTTTCTCTTGCGGTTTTCTTTTCCCTAAAATAATTTCCCTTGTTTTTTGGGGTTCTAAAACATTTAAATATGCATACATAGGATGCTGGGAGAGAGGAGAAGAACAATAATTTTGGGGCTGAAGAAGTAGGCTGTCAAGAAGTGGACAAAGACGAGTGTCTGATGCGGAGGACGCTGGTGGCTCATACGGACTACATCTACACTCAGAACCACAATCCGTGAACCAAAGCTTCTTAATTAATTTCTCTGTATAATTTGAATAGACCGCACGTATATCAAAAAAGGGCTTAGTAGTTGAAATCAATCATCCAAGAATGGGACAAAAGGGCTAGTAGTTGCATTATTCATGTTGTGGATTTTATGATGTAATGTCCATAAATAATGATTTTCAGCCTATACAAAACTGTATGTACCAATATGTGTATTGCACTTAGTGCCAAGTATGTCAGACGTGTTCCATCTCGGTGTGCTTCTCCCTTTTTTTTTTTTTTATATGTATATAAATTGTGTTTACTATGTACTAAATCCTAGCAATAATTTCATTAAAGAATATTCAGCAGCTCATAGTACTGAATTGCAAGAGCAATTTATAGTACTACCATTTTCAATCAGTTTCCACTAAATAATTCGTTGCCTGTCGATTTTGAATACTTTATAAAGAGAGGTTATGGAGGAGGAGGAGGAGCTAATAATTGGACTAGAAAGGCAAAAGAATCAAATTTTAGTTGTCCAAAAAATGAGATAGTAAATATGTCACGAACTGGATGTTGGTGGGCTTATGAAGAGGAGTTCAACCGACTCCAATGTTGCCTGTCTCAGATTTGATTGTCCATTTACATCACCACTACTTGAATCAAAGTTTTGATTTCCAATCTAACATAAGAAGGAAAAAAAAAAAAAAGGAAGAGCAGGAGTCCTATGATGTGGTTTGAGACTTTAGAGTAGGGGTGTCAATTAGGATTTATGAGTCGGTTTTTTTTTATAAGTTCAAATTTGACTCATAAATTATATGAGTTTTTGAATTTCAGAATTTCGAGTTTCGAATTTAAATTAAGTTTGATCTAACTCATAATTAAATATAATTTATAATTATGAATCACTATAATTTATATGTAAATTATTAACATTTTATATCATAATATTTATAATTATAATTATATATATATATATATATATAGAGAGAGAGAGAGAGAGAGAGAGAGAGGGGCAGACACACACACACATACAATTACACTTATATGTGGGCCTAGCCTAATATACTTCAAATTTGACTCACATTTAGTTCGGATTAAATAATTAGACTCAAACTCTATTTGACCTAATTAAAATTTAAGTTCAATGAACTTTTTTCCAGTCGAATGAGCTGAGCTCGAGTTGGCCAGCACCGTTGACGGTCCTACTTTTCGAGTTGATGCTAAATGAGAGAGCACGTCAAATGCTCCACTGCTTTTGACAAGAAAGGAATATTATTGTTTGCTCATACCGCTTCTAGATATCAAACAGTTGGAAGACTCGCATGGAAATTTCTTAGGAATACATGCACCATTTGATCTGATGAGGTCATCGGGATGCAGCTTCACATTCATCCGTCAGAAAGCCTTGGAGTGTGGAGTGGAGTACACTTCGTATGGAGTAATCACGTCCGAGAATTCAAAGCTTCATCAGGCGATTTAGACACGACCAAAAAGAGACAACATGGAGAACAATTCCGTGTATAATGACGACTTGCTTTGCCAAGAGCATGACTCTTTCTCCAGTGGTTGGACAGAAATTGTTCATCCATAGCCCAACCAATAAGCTAAAATCAATTTGAACAGATATTTCATCTCATCTGCTACACACTGTCTATGATCGTGAGGAACACGTTGAACGACAATAAAGTTGCGAATTGCCCAATCAAGACAGAATTGAGTGGTTTCTTGTACCCACAAAGAAAATTAGCATACATCTTAATAGCAACTGTCACGTCTTTGTTGTAAAAGTTGACACACCAGAGAAATGCAATAAAATGACAATAGAACCTCACCATTTTTCCTTCTTCCTTTCACATCTTAATTTCTACCCCCAGGTCCCCCCCCCCCCCACCCAGGACTAGAGGAGGAGCTTCTCTCTTTAGCAAAGCCCATTTGTCCTGCAAAACAGCCAAATATGACACTAATCGATTACTTGTCATGGCAAACAGAGCAAAGATGTGGCATGCTGTTTCTTTCAAGCTAATAAAGTATTGAGTCAAGAACAATAGTTGCAGTTACTACTCCACGCAGACAAGTTCTGTAGATAGAAGGCGTTTTCACTTAGTTCTGAATTTCTAACCAAGTCCTGTTCTCTGACCATCACAAGATCGAGATTTTGTCTTGCTTTAATAATTAATGATTCCATTTTTTCCAGATAACACATTAGTATAACTATACTAACAATGTTTACCTCCAGGTTAGCGCTCTCAACAGTAATCAAAACTTGGCTGTTGCTAGGACCAGGTGTCATGTGAATTTCCAAGTCAGACAAGAGACTGAAGTGAAATGAATGATGGAACAGACCAGAAAGGGGAGAGAGAAACCTTGGAATGAACCTTTGGCAACGACATCAGTTTCCACACTGGACCGCATGAACTACAATTTCAGTCTAAAATAACCATAAGCTTTCATACGCACCACTGGATTAAAGCTTGTCTTCTCGCTTGCTAGCATGAAGGAGACGAGTAAATGGAGAGATGAGTCAGTGCAAGAACTCTTCCTTCTTCAGCAAATTTGAAACCTCAAAAACCACACAAGTGATATTGGACAAACATTAGTCTCAGGTGATGTGTTTCCTCGTAAAAAGTGAAATCTCATAGATTACTTTCCTATTTTATAACACTCAGAACATGTCTTTCACAGGAGAACAGAATCACCTGAAATAGAGCAGTGGAATCTAAGAAATCATTACCTTCAGTTAGTCTCCACATTTACTTGTTCATGTCTAATGTATGTTGATGATCAACTGAATCAAAAGGGAAAGATAAAACCGGAAAGTAGGCACAGATTTTGTTCAAAGACTTCTCTTTGATAAAATAAAAAATTTTATTGTAAAAAACCAATGCAGAATGGTTATCTGTGCTCAAAGCACCAAATCAGCATCGTTGGCACAGGATGAAAAATACAGTAATTAAAAGGAAAATCAAACTTTTGGGCAATTCACAAATGAAGTGACAAAGGGGTATAACTATATAAAAATGACACAGCAATGCATCACATACAAAATACTTTAAGACAATATGATGACATCTGAAAGTCTTATCCAAATTTTGTCTAACACGTTTTACATTCCTCAGATGCTGCTAGTGATGAATCTTTGCACCAGCCGAATTATCTCTGATTCGTCTCGTAGGAAATCTCCTCAAGTCTCAATGTCTGATGGATTAAACATTTTCCCAGTTGACATGGTTCTTATATGAAATCAGCAGATTGGTATTTGGCCACACAGACAGAAGAAAAGATTGTAAACATGAATTAATACTTTAAAGTAAAAGTATCATAAAAGGTTATCAAACAAACAACCTAGATGATTGCATCAGTAAAAGTGCAAAACTTCAATCCACAAAGGAGCATAACACGGTATTATTAACTTCACAAGAGTAAAAACACAAGATCAAGCCATAAAACACCAAGCTTTATCTTGGTACTTTAAGAGCTAAACCTTATTGTCCTTGCTTAGGACTCAACTTTAAGCATGATTGGAAAAAATATCCAATGGTCAAACGTGCAGAACCTCAAAATACAGACAGATGTCCAAGATACAGACTACTTGCATTTTTCTTATGAGTATCTTAACTAGTATCTTCGCTTAGCA